ACAACAAATCACCAAGAAAATCTCCAAGACTGTAGGCATACTATCAAAGATAAGGTACTACGTTCCACAATCAGCTCTCCTGGCACAGTACCATTCACTCATATACCCTTATCTTACATATGGAATTTGTGCATGGGGATCAACAACATCCAATCACCTAAAACCCCTAATAACCCAGCAAAAGGCAGCAGTAAGAATGATAACAAATTCCCACTCCCGCCAGCATACTCCACCAATTTTCAAAAGTCTGAATCTGCTTACCATTAAGAACATCCATACTTATTCATGTGCCTACTACATACACAGAACAATACACGCAAATATAAACCCTCCACTCAAACTTTTCCTCACCAACCTAAACAGGACATGACCACAACACAAGACACAGATCTCTTTTTGATATACCTCATGTCCATATCACACTGTGTAAAAACTCTATGCACATAAAGGGCCCCAAAATATGGAATTCATTATCAGAAGATATTAAAGTAACCCAGTCTGAAAATCAATTAAAGACTCTTCTCAAAAGCCACTTAATCATCCTAGACTAAATGCTAAATACTCAGTATACATTTACTCACCTATGTACTCCCACATCATAAGTGAAACAATCACATTGAACCTTTTGACAGGAATATAATTGTTGACAAGAATATAATTGAATCATTGTTTTTCACAAAAGCATTTTAGAATATAAATACGTATATCTTTGTATTATACAAATTTTGATTCATTTATAATTAATATTCTACTGTACAACTATGAAATAATTACTTTCCTACTGTACAACTATGATATACTACTCCTTAGTATTAAGTAGACTGTAAGCCAATAATGTTAAGTTGGCCCATAATGCCAAGGCATAATAGAGGTTCTCTTTTCATTGCAACTCACTATTGTATATACACAATCTCAATGTACTGTTTGCAAAGACATTAAATAAATAAATAAATAAATTCTTTGACGATGTTCGAGAGTAAACAATACCTGTCCGACTAGCACTGCCCCTCAACCTTCACATATTGGAAAGCTCTTCAACATGCTAGCAAAGTGGGAGCAGACATCATGAGGTAGCAGTGGCAGACAACATGAAGCAGCAGTGATGGACATCAAGAGGTAGTAGTGGCAGACAACATGAAGCAGCAATGGCAGACAGCATGAGGTAGCAATGGCAGACAACATGAAGCAGCAGTGGCAGACAACATGAAGCAGCAGTGGCAGACAACATGAAGCAGTAGTGGCAAAGAGTAGCATTAAGAGTGTAGCAATTAAGTGTAACATTAAGAGTAGCATTAAGAGTGTAGTATTCATAAGTCACTCTGTCTAACTTTTATGGGTTATCCTAGGTTCTCTACACATGTAGTCATGAGCAGGAATGGCCGCTGTGGTGGCCCTGTAAACCCCAACAACAATGGCCGCTGTCACCACCACTAGCCACATATGTAATGACGTGTATTTTATTCATTCTAGTGTATATATCATGTTTCTATGTTATAAACCCCTAAACGGTCCAAACATATATATACATTCTTACCGCTAGCACCTCAAACGTATATATGTTTTAATTTTCCTGCCTACAAATTTGACACGATTGGCCTGAGATGCTTGATCAGCATAGAATTGGTCTTAACACTCGGTGTGCACCATATTAAAAAATCTGGGACCACTTAGTACCTTGTGGGAGTGCCAGTTAAATTGAGCGCCAGCTAGAGCAAACAGTACGGCAAACACCAAGGATTCACTGATGTAATGTCATATTAACACTCCTCTTTTAAGAGGAATATGATGTTAACCCCAAGTTTAGGGTCTGTCTCTGTCTCTATCTCTGTCTGTCTGTCTATTTGTCTCTATCTCTTTTTATGTCTCACAGGTACACACAAATACAATTATACATAGTGTAAATTACCAAGGATAACCTAAAAAATCCGAAGTGCTACACTGTGCTTGTAGATATAAAGCATAAGAATACCTGTTGGTTCACAGTGGCTCTCTCTGAGACAGAGAGACAAGCAGAGAGACAGAAAGAGACAAGCAGACAGAGACAGATAATCAGAGACAGAGATACGAGCTCATCAAATGTCACCCCTTATCTCTGCACCCTCGCTGGTGCCCATCAAATGTCATCCCTTATCTCTTATCTCTGCACTATCTCAACTTATCTCTGCACCCTTGCTGGTGCCCATCAAATGTCATCCCTTATCTCATCTTATCACTGCCCTCCCAGATGCCTGTCACTGACACTTGTCTTACACATTGCTTCAAGGGAACTTCTTCCTTCTTCCTTCTTCCTTCTTCCTTCTTCCTCCTCCTCCTTCCTCCTTCTTCTTCCATACTCTTGCGTATCCAAAACATTGCTGGGACCTATAAATACTTTGTATATATTCCTAGACAATAGTAAATGACCAAGATAGGTGAAAATGTTAACCTGTCAATGTGTTTGTGACAATCTGATTACAATTTCAGTACCTAATATTAGTGTCAGAACAAATATTGGTTATGCAATGACAAGAACTACAATAAATTGTAATTATCAGAACATAAAAATTATATAAAATATGAAAAAAATGGTATATCGGCAACACTTCTGCAAGCGGCAGGACTCGATGTTGCTGTCAAGTGAGCATTAAGTGCCAACTTTGCAGCCTCATATCTCAGTAAGTATTGACCCTATTTTTTTTATTTTAATCCTATAACACTTAGAAAAAATTTCTCTTTATTTCAATGAAAAAAAAAATTATTTTTCAAAATATTCAGGGCACTGGGCGAGAGAACGTATATATACGTTTGGACCATTTAGGGGTTAATATTGTTTATTATGTCATATTACATGAACTGTGATAGATAAATAAGCCGTAGAGTTGATATTAGGGAAATTATTGAAGTATTTTCTCGCGCCTGGAATTCCACTGCAACGAATTAATTCCATTTCAATTAATTTAAATGTGGAAAACTGACTCTGCAAACAAGCAAATCCAGATGTGAGTAAAGTCATGGTATGGATTAAACTCATAAGAAGAGGTTCCACTGTAATAATAATTTGTCAGAGCATCATTCCTTCTAAAAATTACATGAGAATGGAAGTGCTGGTCTTTATTTATTCTACTGTACCAATGTGGAGACAACTTGTACACAATGTAAGGTGTTTGTATGAATGTTTATGAACCATAACCAGACGCTTCGTCCGTTTGTTTACATAGTAGGTGGGGTGGCCAGGCGGGCTACCCTACCCTACCTCCCACACGACTTTCTACCAATAAATACTTTTCACCTCTCACCCTACATTAAGACCATTAAGACTACAAATATTTTAAGGTAAGTAATGAGTGTACTGTATATGCATTTTATCACTCTAGGAGCTTTAATCGTTGTCGTAGTATAATATGTGTGGGTGGGGTGGCCAGGAGGGCTACCACACGTGACTTCTTACAATCAATACTGCTCACCTTTTGCCCTTCATTAACCCCTTGACTGTCGCAACCCCAAATCCTGAGGTGTCTCCTGGTGTCGCAAAATTTCCAAAAAAAAAAAAAATTATTTTTTCTTATGAAATGATAGAGAATCTTTTCCCGATTGTAATGACACACCTCAGTGATATTTACGAATCGGCGATTTCGCTCACTCTGAGTCCTATTTTTGGCTAATTCCATTGTTCCAGTCAACCAAACTCATAGCTATTTCTTTAGAACTCCATTTCTTCTATCGACTGAATACAAGAAACTGCCCATTTACTGATTTCAACTACCCAATAACGTGGTCAGAAATTTGCAATTTGGCCAATTTCACGAAAATTAAAAAATATGACAATTTCAAAATAAGGTCCAGAATGAACAAAGCAGACATTCCTGGCTCTAAAATAACACTTTCTCTGTTCATCATTACTCTTGCTTTCTATTTTGAATTTTTATTCAAACAAAAAATATAACATTTACTGTTATGCAGACTACTGCAATATTGTAATAATTGTATAAACAATGTCAACCCATTCATGACTGCAAATTAGAATGGCTACTTGGACATTTATTGGAAAATGACATCATTTGTTTACTTTTGAATATCGGCAAAAATCAAACATTTCCCCTACTTTGAGCTCCATTACAAGGTTCTTTTCATAGTTAAAACCAATCAAAATCACCTCTATTTCTATATGTTTTCCATTCTATCAAATGAGACCAAGAAAACGAGAATTCAACCATAAATACTATATGAAAATAGACCACAAAGTTGGCATTTTAATTAAAAAAAAAACGGACAGAGTTTTTTTTTCTCATTATGCACTGCGTGCTGCAGGATTTTTTTTACATGGTGCACACTGACCACACAGACCCATTCTCTCACATGTGAGCCTACCAGCTTTCTCCTGCTTGATTTGAAGCCGCTAGAATTTATGAGTACGTATATATACATCAAACAAGGTGGCTCGTAAGACATATATATACGACCAAAACAGTCAAAGGGTTAAGACTACAAATATTTTGGGGTAAATAATTAGTGTACTGTGTGCGTATTTTACTTTTTATTGTTTTTTAATGCCTAGTTCTATTGCTAACTTAATATATGTTAGTGTAAACTTGTTATCTGGCATTTATATGCATTTATAAGTGGAAAAAATGGCATTCTGCTTTCTGGCGATGTCTACTTTCTGGCAGTAGCCTGGAACCTAACCTGTTGCATAAGTGGGGCCCTACTGTATGTGCTACTGGAGTGTGAGCAAAGTAATATTTATGAAGGGAGTCAGGAAACCAGTCAACTACTTAGATCCTGGAGGTGAGCATGCCTATTATCTGAAAAAGAAGTGGGAATGTTGCAGTATAGAGGGTCACCTGAACTGTGATGTCTGCAAACTTCTGTCAAAACAGCTACTAAATGAGTTAGGGTAAGTGTATTTTTTTTTTTTAGGGTCACCTTACCTTGGTGGGAGAGGGCTGCTGTGTTAAAAAAAAAAAAAATGTAACTATCTCCTACAAAATTAGCAATTTGTATACATCAAATAATTTCCTTACCTGTATAAAAAATTCTTGCATATCCTCATAGGAGAGAGACCACAAAGTGTTGCTATCATATTCCACAACAATGGCTACAATGTTTCCAGTTTTTCTGCTGAATTTTGGGCCTGCAACTCCAGGAATGAAGTATTCTCGTGGAGTCTGGTAAAGAGCCATAATGCCCTTGTGAATGCACTTGTCAAAGACATCTCGTGGGTAAGGAAACTTGGAGGCTTCACAGCAAGGAGAGCGATCAACGCCTGTTATTGGATCTATGCATTTTCTTTCCATCCAACTCTTAAATGTTTCAATAAAACAATTTGGAAGCAGAGGACCCAGAGTAGACATGTAAAAGCTTTGGTTTCGAAGATCACGGCAAAAATTTAGCAGCCATTCCTGAGATTCTGGTTGAGCTACATCAAAATTTTCATCATATTCTAATGTTCCTTTTGAAGCAGGGTTGAGGTAGTCCCCATTATCCACTGGTTTAATTCCCCAGACTATACGCACTGGTAACCGATTCACAATATCATTTCTCAGATTCCTCTCAAACCAAAATTTATATTTGTACACCAAGTCATACTGCTCAAAGACATGATCTCTTGAAAAAAGCTGAAACATTTGTGAATCTGGAAGCTTGAGTCCTGGAAAGTAGAATACAACAACAGCACTACATGCTGCCAGAGTACCGAGCAATAAAACCCACAAGTGGCGGGGCTTTACTATCACCCATGGAAGCATCTTCTCAAAAAACACTCTTGCAGACTCAGCACAAGAGTAGCAAAATCTGAGGGGTAAAGCACACACCACAGAACAGCGAGGGGGCAGATGAGGAGCATATACAGGTGCTGGGGGGACACAGAGGCAGCAGGTGGAGGCACCCCAGCGCTCAGCCACCACAACACATGCTGGTACCCAAGTCAGCATTAGCAGGAGGTTAGCCAGAACCACAGTTCCTGCAAAAATGCTGAAAAAGAAAACAGCACTAATTTTACAGTACATATATATATATATATATATATACATAACTAATTAAAATACAATAATAAGTAAATTTAAAGTCATGCTTGTCTCATTTATGTAGTGTGAATCAACTCCACTAAAGAAACTTCAACACTCATAAATATTTTTTGGTTAAAACTGGCCGTCTCCCACCAAGGCAGGGTGACCCAAAAAAGAAACACTCTCACCATCATCAATACCTTCACCATCATTCACACATCATCACCGTCTTCGCAGAGGTGCTCAGATACGACAGTTCAGATGTCACTCCAAACAGCAAGTATCCCAAACCCCTCCTTTAAAGTGAGGTGGGCATTAATCCTATATAATATATTTTATTCATAAATATTGTGAAGGATTAATGTCCAATTCTCAATTTTAAAACTTTTCACCTGTGTGAGTAGCATTTGAAAGAATTGAAGAATAAATCAACTAGCTGAAGCGTTCTCTAATACAGTGGACCCCCGCATACCGATGGCACCACATAACGATTAATCCGCATACCTCTTGCTTTAATCGCAAAAATTTTGCCTCGCATACCGCTTAACCCTTTGAGGGTCGACAGGCCCTCTCCGAAACTCGTTCTCAGGGTCGGCCAAATTTAAAAAAAAAAAAAAATTATTTTCTCTTATGAAAAGATAGAGAATCTTTTCCCGATCATAAAGACACCAAAAGTTTGAAATTTGATAGAAAACTTACGGAATTATGCTCTCGCAAAGTTAGCGGTCTCGGCGATGTTTACGCATCGGCGATTTTGCCCACTTTGAGCCCCATTTTCGGCCAATTTCACTGTACTAGTCGACAAAAAACATGAATATTTCGATAGAACTCCATTTTTTCTATCGAATGGGTGCAAGAAACCACTCATTTATGGAATTCTACTATCCAGTACAGTGGTCAGAAATTTAGCAATTTTGCCAATTTCACACAAATTTCAAAAGATGCCAATTTCCGAATAGGGTCCAGAATAAACAAGAAAGACATTCCTGGCACTAAAATGACATTTCCTCTAGTCATTAGTCATGTCTCAAGGCCCCTCTTATATTTCTTTTGCTTTCCACTTTGAAGTTTTATTTTTCACAAAAAATATAAGATTTACTGTTATGCAGACTACTGCATTAGTGTAAAAAATGGTATAAATATTATTGGTGCACTTGTGAAAGAATATTAGACTCACCAGTTGACGTGTATTGCACGCTTGGCATGATTTGTTTACTTTTGAAGTTTGGTAAAAATCGAACATTTCTGCTACTTTGAGCTCAATTTCAAGGCACCTTTCTTTGTAAAACCAGTCAAAATCATCTCAATTTCTGTAATATGTATTCCATTCTATAAAATGAGACCAAGAAAACTAGAATACAACAATAAATACCATACGAAAATACACTGCAAAGTCGCTGATTTATTAAAAAAAAATGGTAAAAGTTTTTTTTTTCTCATTATGCACTGTGTGCTGCAGGATTTTTTTTAGACTGTGCACACTGACCACATAGACCCATTCTTTCATATGAAGGCCAACCAGTTTTCTCCCACTAGATTTGAGGCCGCTAGAATTTATGAGTACTAGTACGTCAAAAACCCCTATGCGTAAGACGTACTAGTACGACGAAAACCCTCAAAGGGTTAAAAACCCGCTCACCGATTTTCGTCCGAGACACGTCCAATGTGCGCCCTCAGCCAGCCTCACATGTGCCGCCCGTGCCATTGTTTACCAGCCAGCCTCCGCGGTAACATCCAAGCATACAATCGGAATATTTCGTATTATTACAGTGTTTTCGGTGCTGTTTCTGGAAAATAAGTGACCATGGGCCCCAAGAAAGCTTCTAGTGCCAACCCTACACCAATAAGGGTGAGAATTCCAATAGAAATGAAGAAAGAGATCATTGATAAGTATGAAAGTGGAGTGCGTATCGCCGACCTGGTCAGGTTGTACAAGAAACCCCAATCAACCATCGCTACTATTGTGGGCACCAGAAAGGCAATCAAGGAAGCTGTTCTTGCCAAAGGTTTAACTGTGTTTTCGAAACAAAGATCGCAAGTGATGGAAGATGTTGAGAGACTCTTATTGGTGTGGATAAATGAAAAACAGCTAGCAGGAGATAGCGTCTCTCAAGCGATCATAAGCGAAAAGGCTAGGAAGTTGCATGAGGATTTAATTAAAAAAATGCCTGCAACTAGTGCTGATGTGAGTGAATTTAAGGCCAGCAAAGGTTGGTTTGAGAGATTTAAGAAGCGTAGTGGCATCCATAGTGTGATAAGGCATGGTGAGGCTGCCAGTTCGGACCACAAAGCGGCTGAAAAATATGTGCAGGAATTCAAGAAGTACATAGAGACCGAAGGACTGAAACCTGAACAAGTGTTTAATTGTGATGAAACAGGCCTGTTTTGGAAGAAAATGCCAAGCAGGACCTACATTACTCAGGAGGAAAAGGCACTCCCAGGACATAAGCCTATGAAAGACAGGCTTACTTTGTTGATGTGTTCCAATGCTACTGGTGATTGCAAAGTTAAGCCTTTATTAGTGTATCACTCTGAAACTCCCAGAGCGTTCAGGCAAAAAGAATGTCCTCAAGGAGAATTTGTGTGTGCTGTGGAGGGCAAACAGTAAGGCATGGGTCACTAGGGACTTTTTCTCATGACTGGTTACACCATGCATTTGCCCCCAATGTGAAAGATTACCTAACTGAAAAGAAATTAGAACTTAAGTGCCTCCTGGTGTTTAGACAATGCCCCTGGTCATCCTACAGACATGGCAGAGCGACTTTATGGGGACATGAAATTCATTAACATCAAGTTTTTGCCTCCTAATACCACTCCTCTCCTGCAGCCCATGGACCAGCAGGTTATTGCAAACTTCAAGAAACTGTACACAAAAGCTCTGTTTGAAAGGTGCTTTGTAGTGACCTCAGAAACTCAATTGACTCTAAGAGAGTTTTGGAGAGAGCACTTTAATATCCTCAATTGTGTAAACCTTATAGGTAAGGTTTGGGAGGGAGTGACTAAGAAGACCTTGAACTCTGCTTGGAAAGAAACTGTGGCCAGAATGTGTAGACAAAAGGATTTTGAAGGGTTTGAGGCTAACCCTGAGAGGATTATGCCAGTTGAGGAATCCATTGTGGCATTGGGAAAGTCCTTGGGGTTGGAGGGTTTGTGGGGAGGATGTGGAAGAGTTGGTGGAGGAGGACAATGAAGAACTAACCACTGATGAGCTGATAGATCAACTTCAAGAGCAAGAGGCCAGACCTGAGAAAACTGGTTCAGAGGAGGGGAGAGAGAAATTTGAAGAAGTTGCCTACTACAAAGATTAAGGAAATCTGTGCAATGTGGCTGAAAGTGCAAACCTTTATGGATGAGTATCACCCTCACACAGCTATTGCAAGCCGTGCTGGTGATTATTACACTGACAATGTTTTTTGAAACACTTTAGGGAAGTCATAAAGGAACGAGAGGTACAGGCCACTATGGACAGATATGTTGTGCGAAAGAAGTCCAGTGACTCTGAAGCTGGTCCTAGTGGCATTAAAGAAGAAGGGAAGTAACCCCAGAAAAGGACTCGACACCTCAAGTCTTAATGGAAGGGGATTCCCCTTCTAAACACTAACACTCTCTCTCCCCTCCTCCCATCCCATCAATCATCACCAGATCTTCAATAAAAGTAAGTGTCATGTAAGTGTGCATGCCTTTTTCAGTTTGTATGTATTAAAATTAACATTTCATGTGGTAAAAAAAAAATTTTTTTTCATACTTTTGGGTGTCTTGCACGGATTAATTTGATTTCCATTATTTCTTATGGGGAAAATTCATTCGCATACCGATTATTTCGCATAACAATGATCCCTCTTGCACGGATTAAAATCGGTATGCGGGGGTCCACTGTATTTGTAACAAAGTATAAATGGAAAGTGTGGACTTTGTGGTCTAGACTGATACTCCAATACTTATTAGTCATGAAAAATTATCAAAATAGTTTAAAATTCTTGAAAAGGATTAAGAGTTTTGAGTTCATGAAGATGGGCCAAGTAATTTAAATCCTCAGTTGAAATTATACATGTATACTGTACAGATGTGCCATGATTCAGTATAATATACTCTTATAAATATTGATAGAAAAACATCACACAAAACTAGAAACCATGAATAATAAAAAAAAGGTCTGCATAAAAAAATGTGTTTCAGATTTGGGTTTATTTTGTGTTTGAAAGAAAATATCTCTAAGATATAACTCTAATATTCATTGGTAGTAGGTTTGTAGACAGCAACCGCCCAGGGAGGTACTACCGTCCTGCCAAGTGAGTGTAAAACGGAAGCCTGTATTTGTTTTACACGATGGTAGGATTGCTGGTGTCTTTTTTTTTTCTGTCTCATACACATGCAAGATTTCAGGTATGTCTTGCTACTTCTATTTACACTTAGGTCACACTACACATACATGTACAAGCATATATATACACACCCCTCTGAGTTTTCTTCTATTTTCTTTCTAGTTCTTGTTTATTTCCTCTTACCTCCATGGGGAAGTGGAACAGAATTCTTCCTCTGTAAGCCATGCGTGTTGTAAGAGGCGACTAAATTGCCGGGAGCAAGGGGCTAGTAACCCCTTCTCTTGTATATATTACTAAATTTAAAAGGCGAAACTTTCGTTTTTCCTTTTAGGTGCCCCCCACCTGAGTGGGATATGGCTGGTATGTTGAAAGAAGATCACTCTAATATTGGCTTTTATAAGAAGCCACTGAGTTAGAAGAGCATTAGATAACTAAATTTATTTGCTGTTGTCCATTATCAAAAACATGAGATAACTGAAACCTGCAAATATACAGAAGCCCACAAATTTCTAATCTTTTCTAAAATAATGTGTGCATTTCATGTAACAAATAGGATTTAAACCCATGGCAAGCCAGTCCTAAACCTAGCAGGCCAGTACATACATATTCTTGTCCAATTTTTTTGAAATTTGAAATTTTATTCATGAAAAGTGTTAAACTCATGTGGGTCATTCAGTATTGCATGATTAGACTAACTCCCATGAGGGAGATCTGGGGCAAGTCCACTGATAGGACAATACTTGATAAAGTCTCACTAGGTGAAATATTGTAAAATAAAAGATCTCTCTGCTTAAACTACCTTTGAATTTCAAACTGTCAGCTTTTGTCACTATCTATTAGGAACAAAATAGTGCTGAATACACACCCTTGTGGTGTTACTCCTTGTACAAAGTCAGAGGAAAAGACTGTTACTGATTTGAACACAGAAATATCTCTGTCAAAAAAAAGTTTTCAAAAACAGACATAGCAGGCCTTGGTGGCCAAGAGAATGGGTTTCAAATATATAATATCACCAAGTGATGTCATAAGCCATTCTGAGATCAAAGAAGGTAGCTATAATGCAGCTCCATTCTGAACGCACATTACAAATGTGTGTGTTTAGAGTAAAGGATTCATGGTGGAACAGCCATGCTAATAACCAAACTGATGGTGACAGATAACTGAGCTCCCAACAACCATACAAATCTCCTGATGACCATACATTAACCCTTAAACTGTCCAAACGTAGATCTACGTTCACCTGCGTGGCTCTCTGAATATTTTGAAAAATAAAAAAATTGTTTTTTGTTTTTAAATTAAAGAAGAAGTGTTGCCGATTTACCTTTTTTCCTCGTTTTTATTTTAATTTATATAATTTCTAGCCCTTGTGGCTTAGCGCTTCTTTTTGATTATAATAATAATTATATAATTTCTACGTTCTGATAATTACAATTTATAATAGTTCTTGTGATTTCATAGCCAATCTTTGTTCTGACACCAATATTATGTACTGAAATAGTACTCAAATTGTAACAATCACACTGACAGGTGAATGTTTTCACCTACCCTGGTCATTTACTAGTGTCTAGAAATACTATATATAAAGTATTTATAGGTCCCAGCAATATTTTAGACATGCTGGAGTATGAACCTCCTTGAAGAATGGTGTTATGACAAGGGTCAGATAAGTGACATTTGATGAATGTGCCCTGCTGGAGGGAGCCTTGCCTTTATATGTTTTTACTCTTGCACACAAACATGTCTTTGTATGTCTGTCTGTCAGTCTGTCTGTCTGCCTGTCTATTTGTACATCTGTCTATCTGTACATCTATCAGTCTCTCTGTACATCTGTCTATCTGTACATCTATCTGTTTGTCTATCTATACATCTATCTGTCTATCTGTACATCTATCTGTCTGTCTGCCTAGCTCTGCTTATCTGTCTGTCCAGTTCAGCTTATCTGTCATTCTGTCTTCTGTGTGTGCCTGGAGTATAATATGAACTTCTTGAATAATGGTGTTATGACAACATCAGATAACAAGTGAAGTTTGATGAATGTGCGCTGCTGGAGGGGGGAACCTTGCCTTTATATGTTTTTACTCTTGCACACAAACATGTCTTTGTATGTCTGTCTGTCAGTCTATCTGTCTGCCTGACTATCTGTCTGCCTGTCTATCTGTACATCTATCTGTCATTCTATCTGTACATCTATCTGTCTTTCTATCTGTACATCTATCTGTCTTTCTATCTGTACATCTATCTGTCTTTCTATCTGTACATCTATCTGTCTTTCTATCTGTACATCTATCTGTCTTTCTATCTGTACATCTATCTGTCTTTCTATCTGTACATCTATCTGTACATCTATCTGTCTGTCTGCCTAGCTTTGCTTATCTGTCTGTCCAGTTCAGCTTATCTGTCTTTCTGTCTGCCTGTGTGTGTCTGTCTTTCCATCTGCTTATCTCTGTCTCAGGAAGCAGCTAGTAAACCTGTTGGTCTGTGGTGTATGGGCTGCTCCCTGATTGCTGAGTAACTGACACTGCTATTATTTGCGTCATGTTTATTTATGTCTTATATCTACAAACACTGTATAGCACTTGGCCTGGATTTTTTGGGTTATCCTAGGTAATTTACATTATGTATAATTGTATTTATGAGTACATGTAAGAGAAAGACATATAGACAGAGATACAAATAGACAGTGATATAGACAGACAGTGATATAGACAGATATATATAGACAGAGATATAGGCAGACAGACAGAGATGTAGACAGATAGACAGAGATAAAGACAGAGACAGCCAAAGCCAGCCAGCCGAATACATAAGAACATAATAAAGAAGGAACACTGCAGCCGGCCTACTGGCCCATGCAAGGCAGGTCCATGTCACCCCCCTGCTTAGACCAATGACCCACCTAGTCAGGTCACATCCACTGAAAGAAGGAACACGACATCTGACCCAGTAGCACAAGCTAGTCAGGTCCAACTCGCACCAACCTACACCCACTCATGCATTTATCTAACCTATTTTTACTTTCCTCTTAAAATGTGAGTGTTAATATGACATGACATCAGTGAATCACTGGTGTTTGCCACACTATTTGCTCTAGCTGGTGCTCAGTTGAACTGGTGCTCCCACAAGGTACTAAATGGTCCCTGATTTTTTTTCATAGTGCACACACTGAGTGCACAGACCCATTCTTTCATGTCTAGGCGACTCAGGCCTATCACACCAAATTTGAAGGAATGAAAAATAAAACATTGATCTACGTTCAGAGCGCTGTGCACGTGCACGTAGATCTACGTGTGGACAGTTTAAGGGTTAAAGCAATTTGCAAACGGAAATGGCAAGACCAATGTGCTGAAAATGGGATAGGCCGCACTCTTTGATGTACTTGGCTTCTAAAATAGGACTACTTCAGTTTTCCACTGAAAAATGTATAATGCCCTAAGACAAGATTCAACAGAAGACCCCTGACAGGTTTAAATATCTTAGCAAAGAAACATGTACTTTATCTGGACAGACCCTTGTAGGCTGATATCTGACAACACTTATTAAAGTTCAGTAAGTGTAAGAAGTACATTACTGGCATAAAAGACAAAAACTCAGTGACAAATTATTGCATAAGCTTGGATCAGAGGAAGTCAGGAAGCAACTGTAGCTCTTAGAAAACCTGAGCAAAGTGACAGCCCATAACTACCGCCTCATCAACAATTTTCTCTTTTCTCACCAGTAATATCAAAGATGAGAAAAGGTTGAAGAGGGACTTGCCAACCAATTTCCATACTATTTTACAAACTCTGTATATAGAAATAATGGTATTTAAAGCAAAAATGTAGGCTTGCCACCAAGTTTGTTTAGCTGCACATATATACTTAAGATAAATATTTCATGAGCATTTTACCACCTTTTCAAGTGCTTTAGGATTATGTATGTATAATTTTTTTAAAAATACTGATTGTGTTGAACTCTGAGAGAATACAAATAAACAAAGTGTAAATGCTTACCTGAAACAACGTATGGCTGTGATATGTGATACACAAGATGCAAAGAAGGCTGCAGCAGTTGTTAATGAGGTAACAATGATGGAGGCTGCAGCATGATGAAGAGCATCTGCTACCAGCTTCACCATGGTTCCTGAATTTTTATCTTGTTTGGCTAAAGTCCAGACACGACAGTAAACAAATGTATCATCTGCTCCTATCCCTGTAAATGAAACAAGAAAATATAGAAATAACGTAAAATATGCAGAAAGCCCTTTGGCAGTTAGACTTTTAATGTTCAGTTAGAAAATTAACTTCATACAATGTGACTACAAAAAAAAAAAAAGTGCATTTACTTTCTGTGGTAATATTATATTCCTAAATGCATAGTAATCCATTCACAATTTTAATACTAGTAGCACAGATACATTAAAAAAAAAAAAAAAACAGATGATGGGGTCAAGAGCAGACAGCTAGAATAACAGTGATACACTTTACTAAAATACTATACATCTACGATAAAATGTAATGCCAATAAAGAAGGAATATTAGTGTCGAGTGAAGTAACTTATACAGAAGGAAAATCCTTTTTCTGTCTCAAACTCGCTGGATAATTGGTATATCTTGCTAGTTCTACTTACACTTAGGTCACACTACACAGGTATGTACACACACACATCAAGGTTTTTCTTCTTTTTCTTAATAGTTATGGAAGGAGAAAAGAGAATATGAATGTGTAAATTCAAGGATTATGTGGATTAAAATAATGGTTGGATGCGAAAAGTGGGTCATAATAAGCGTGTATGCACCTGGAGAAGATAGGAATGTAGAGGAGAGAGAGAGAGATTTTGGGAGATGTTAAGTGAATGTATAGGAACCTTTGAACCAAGTGAGAGAGTAATTGTGGTAGGGGACCTGAATGCTAAAGTAGGAGAAACTTTTAGAGAGGGTGTGGTAGGCAAGTTTGGGGTGCCAGGTGTAAATGATAATGGGAGCAATTTGATTGAACTTTATATAGAAAGGGGTTTAGTTATAGGTAATACATATTTTAAGAAAAAGAGGATAAATAAGTATACAAGATATGATGTAGGATGAAATGACAGTAGTTTGTTGGATTATGTATTGGTAGATAAAAGACTGTTGAGTAGACTACAGGATGTACATGTTTATAGAGGGGCCACAGATATATCAGATCACTTTTTAGTTGTAGCTACACTGAGAGTAAAAGGTAGATGGGATACAAGGAAAATAGAAGCATCAGGGAAGAGAGAGGTGAAGGTTTATAAACAAAAAGAGGAGGCAGTTAGGGTAAGATATAAACAGCTATTGGAGGATAGATGGGCTAATGAGAGCATAGGCAATGGGGTCGAAGAGGTATGGGGTAGGTTTAAAAATGTAGTGTTAGAGTGTTCAGCAGAAGTTTGTGGTTACAGGAAAGTGAGTGCGGGAGGGAAGAGGAGCGATTGGTGGAATGATGATGTAAAGAGAGTGGTAAGGGAGAAAAAGTTAGCATATGAGAAGCTTTTACAAAGTAGAAGTGATGCAAGGAGGGAAGAGTATATGGAGAAAAAAAGAGAGGTTAAGAGAGTGGTGAAACAATGTAAAAAGAGAGCAAATGAGAGAATGGGTGAGATGTTATCAACAAATTTTGTTGAAAATAAGAAAAAGTTTTGGAGTGAGATTAACAAGTTAAGGAAGCCTAGAGAGCAAATGGATTTGTCAGTTAAAAATAGGAGAGGAGAGTTATTAAATGGAGAGTTAGAGGTATTGGGAAGATGGAGGGAATATTTTGAGGAATTGTTAAATGTTGGTGAAGATAGGGAAGCTGTGATTTCATGTATAGGGCAAGGAGGAATAACATCTTGTAGGAGTGAGGAAGAGCCAGTTGTGAGTGTGGGGGAAGTTCATGAGGCAGTAGGTAAAATGAAAGGGGGTAAGGCAGCTGGGATTGATGGGATAAAGATAGAAATGTTAAAAGTAGGTGGGGATATAGTTTTGGAGAGGTTGGTGCTATTATTTAATAAATGTATGGAAGAGGGTAAGGTACCTAGGGATTGGCAGAGAGCATGCATAGTTCCTTCGTATAAAGGCAAAGGGGACAAGAGAGAGTGCAAAAATTATAGGGGGAAAAGTCTGTTGAGTATACCTGGTAAAGTATATGGTAGAGTTATTATTGAAAGAATTAAGAGTAAGACGGAGAATAGGATAGCAGATGAACAAGGAGGCTTTAGGAAAGGTAGGGTAGGGTGTGTGTGGACCAGGTGTTTACAGTGAAACATATAAGTGAACAGTATTTAGATAAGGCTAAAGAGGTTTTTGTGGCATTTATGGATTTGGAAAAGGAGTATGACAGGGTGGATAGGGGGGCAATGTGGCAGATGTTGCAAGTGTATGGTGTAGGAGGTAGGTTACTGAAAGCAGTGAAGAGTTTTTACGAGGATAGTGAGGCTCAAGTTAGAGTATGTAGGAAAGAGGGAGATTATTTCCCAGTAAAAGTAGGCCTTAGACAAGGATGTGTGATGTCACTGTGGTTGTTTAATATATTTATAGATGGGGTTGTAAGAGAAGTAAATGTGAGGGTCTTGGCAAGACGCGTGGAGTTAAAAGATAAAGAATCACACATAAAGTGGGAGTTGTCACAGTTGCTCTTTGCTGATGACACTGTGCTCTTGGGAGATTCTGAAAAGAAGTTGCAGAGGTTGGTGGATGAATTTGGTAGGGTATATAAAAGAAGAAAATTAAAAGTGAATACAGGAAAGAGTAAGGTTATGAGGATAACAAAAAGATTAGGTGATGAAAGATTGGATATCAGATTGGAGGGAGAGAGTATGGAGGTGAATGTATTCAGATATTTGGGAGTGGAGGTGTCAGCCGATGGGTCTATGAAAGATAAGGTGAATCATAGAATTGATGAGGGGAAAAGGGTGAGTGGTGCACTTAGGAGTCTGTGGAAATAAAGAACTTTGTCTTTGGAGGCAAAGAGGGGAATGTATGAGAGTATAGTTTTACCAATACTCTTATATGGGTGTGAAGCATGGGTGATGAATGTTGCAGCGAGGAGAAGGCTGGAGGCAGTGGAGATGTCATGTCTGAGGGCAATGTGTGGTGTGAATATAATGCAGAGAATTCGTAATTTGGAAGTTAGAAGGAGGTGTGGGATTGCCAAAACTGTTGTCCAGAGGGCTGAGGAAGGATTGTTGAGGTGGTTCGGACATGTAGAGAGAATGGAGCAAAACAGAATGACTTTAAGAGTGTATCAGTCTGTAGTGGAAGGAAGGCGGGGTAGAGGTCGGCCTAGAAAAGGTTGGAGGGAGGGGGTAACGGAAGTTTTGTGTGCGAGGGGCTTGGACTTCCAGTGGGCATGTGTGAGCGTGTTTGATAGGAATGAATGGAGACAAATGTTTTTTAATACTTGACGTGCTGTTGGAGTGTTAGCAAAGTAACATTTATGAAGGGATTCAGGGAAACCGGCAGGCCGGACTTGAGTCCTGGAGATGGGAAGTACAGTGCCTGCACTCTGAAGGAGGGGTGTTAATGCTGCAGTTTAAGAACTATAGTGTAAAGCACCCTTTTGGCAAGACAGTGATGGAGTGAATGACGGTGAAAGTTTTTCTTTTTTGGGCCACCCTGCCTTGGTGGGAATCGGCCAGTGTGTTAATAAAAAAATAAAATTCTTGTTCTTCTTTATTTCCCTTATTCTCCATGGGGAAGTGGAAAATAATCTTTCCTCTCTAAGCCTTGTGTGTCGTAGGAGGCAACTAAAATGCTGGGAGCACTAAGCTAGTAATTTCTTCTCCTGTATAAACTACTAAAAACAAGAAAAAGAAAAACTTTATAAAACTGGGATGTTTGAATGTGCATGGATGTAGTGCAGATGATAAGAAAGAAATGATTGCTAATATTATGAATGAAAACAAGTTGGATGCCCCAGTTCTAAGCAAAACAAAGCTGAAGGTAGTGGGGAAGTTTAAGTGGGAAGAGATAAATGGGATTAAGTCAGGGTACCTGAGAGAGTTAGAGCTAAGGAAGGGGTAGCAATAATGTTGAAGGATCAGTTATGGAAAGAAAAGAGGGAATATAAATGTATAAATTCAAGAATTATGTGGATTAAAATAAGGGTCGGATGCAAAAAATGAGTCGTAATAAGTGTGTATGCACCTGGAGAAGAGAGGAGTGTAGAGGAGAGAGAAAGATTTTGTGAGATGTTAAGCAGGTGTGTAGGAACTTTTGAACCAAGTGAGAGAGAGTAACTGTGTTAGGGGACCTAAATGCTAAAGTAGGAGAAATGTTTAAAGAGGGTGTGGTAGGTAAGTTCAGGGTGTCAGATGTAAATAATAATGGGAAGCCCTTGATTGAACTTTGTATAGAATGGGGTTGGGTTATACGTAATACATATTTTAAGAAAAAGGGGATAAATAAGTATACACGATATAGGGCGTAATAACAGTAGTTTGTTGGTCTACATATTGGTTAATAAAAGACTGTTTGGGTAGACTTCAGGATGTACATGTTTATAGAGAGGCCACAGATATATCAGATGACTTTTTAGTTGTAGCTACAGTGAGAGTAAAAGGTAGATGGGATACAAGGAAAATGAAAGCAGCAAGTAAGAAAGAAGTGAAGGTTTATAAACTAGAGGAGGAGGCAGTTAGGATAAGATATAAACAGCTATTGGAGGATAGATGGGCTAGTGAGAGTATAGGCAATGGAGTTGAAGATGTATGGGGTAGGTTTAAGAACATAGTGTTAGTGTGTTCAGCAGAAGTCTGTGGTTATAGGAAAGTGGGTGCAGGAGGGAAGAAGAGCAATTGTTGGAATGATGATGATGTAAAGAGAGTAGTAAGAAAGAAAAAGTTAGCATACGAGAGGTTTTTACAAAGTAGAAGTGATGCAAGGAGGGAGGAGTATATGGAGAGAAAAAGAGAGGTTAAGAAAGTGGTGAAGCAATGTAAAAAGAGCAAATTAGAGAGTGGGTGAGATGTTATCAACAAATTTTGTTGAAAATAAGAAAAAGTTTTGGATTGAGATTAAAAAGTTGAGAAAGCCTTGAGAAAGACAGGGAAGCTGTGATTTTGTGTATAGGGCAAGGAAGAATAACATTTTGTAGGAATGAGGAAGAACCAGTTACTAGTTCTTCCTCCGTAAGCTATGCGTGCCATAAGAGGTGACTAATATGCCGGGAGCAAGAGGCTAGTAACCCCTTTGCCTGTATACATTACTAAATTTAAAAAGAGAAACTTTTGTTTCTCTTTTTGGGCCATCCTGCTTCGATGGGATGCAGCCGATGTGTTGATAGAAGAAGAAGTCTGTTGAGTATACATCATAAAATGTATGGTATAGTTATCATTGAAAAAATTAAGAATAAGACGGAGAGCAGGATAGCAGATGAACAAGGAGGCTTTAGGAAGGGTAGGAGGTGTGTAGACCAAGTGTTTACAGTGAAACATTTAGGTGATCAGTATTTAGATAAGGGTAAAGAGGTTTTTGTGGCATGTATGGATTTGTAAAAGACATACCTCCTATTCCATACATTTGCAACATCTGCCACATATGATGTGGCAGATGTTGCAAATGTATGGAATAGGAGGTAGGTTACTGAAAGCGGTTAAGAGTTTTTACAAGGATAGTGAGGCTCAGGTTAGAGTATGTAGGAGAGAGGGAGATTATTTCCCAGTAAAAGTAGGCCTTAGACAGGGATGTGTGATATCACCATGATTGTTCAATATATTTATTGATGGAGTTGTAAGAGAAGTGAATGCTTGGGTGTTGGCAAGAGGTGTGGGGTTAAAAGATAAAGAATCTAACACAAAACAGGAGTTGTCACAGTTGCTCTTTGCTGATGACAAATGTGCTTTTTGGGAGATTCTGAAGAGAAGTTGCAGAGATTGGTGGATGAGTTGGGTAGGGTATTAAAAGAAGGAAATTAAAAGTGAATATAGGAAAGAATAAGGTGATGAGGATAACAAAAAAAATTAGGTAATGCAAGATTGGATATCAGATTGGAGGGAGAACATATGGAGGAGGTGAATGTTTTCAGATATTTGGGAGTGGACATGTCAGCAGATGAGTCCATGAAAGATAAGGTGAATCATAGAATTGACGAGTGGAAAAAGATGAGTGGTGTACTGAGGAGTCTCTGGAAACAAAGAAATTTATACATGGAAGCAAAGAGGGGAATGTATGAGAGTATAGTTAAACCAACACTCTTATTTGGGTGTGAAGCATGGGTGGTGAATGTTGCAACAGGGAGAAGGCTGGAGGCAGTGGAGATGTCATGTCTGAGGGCAAAGTGTGGTGTGAATATAATGCAGAGAATCTTTAGTTTGGAGATTAGGAGGAGGTGTGGGATTGCCAAAACTATTATCCAGAGGGCTGAGGAGGGGTTATTGAGGTGGTTCAGACATGTAGATAGGAAGGAACAAAATAGAATGACTTTGAGAGTGTATAAATCTGTAGTGGAGAGAAGGTGGGGGTAAGGGTTGGTGTAGGAAAGGTTGGAGGTAAGAGGGGTAAAGGAGGTTTTGTGTGCGAGGGGCTTGGACTTCGAGCAAGCATGCTTGAGCGTGTTAAGAGTGAATGGAGACAAGTGGTTTTTAGGACTTGACATGCTGTTGGAGTGAGAGCAAGGTAACATTTATGAAGGTATTCAGGGAAACCGGCAGGCTGGACTTGAGTCCTGGAGATGGGAAGTACAGTGCCTGCACTCTGAAGGAGGGGTGTTAATGTTGCAGTTTTGTAACTGTAGTGTAGCACACCTCTGGCAAGACAGAGATGGAGTGAATGATGAAAGTTTTTCTTTTTCGAGCCACCCTGCCTTAGTAGGAAATGGCCAATGTATTAATAATAATAAAAAAATTATTAAATAAAAACTAAGCATTAAGCCCACAAGGTCTATTGAGGGAAAGGATGTGGTTACCTACCAACTAATAGTTTTCAAGCTACAACTACAATTCATCAAAGATGAAAGTACTCTATCCTATGTGGTTCACTCCCATTGTTTATTTCCCCTTTTTTCCCAAGCAAAAATTACTACACATTGTACAACAATCATTGTACACTTAGCATTTTTCTTATTTCTTCTATAATGTATGATGTAAATGTTTAACAGCTGCATTATCATCATCACTGTGAATACTTAAGCAAGTCTGCCAATGTAAACGTTTTCTCAAATAAACCAGTTAATTTCTTGTTTGTCTTTTCAGACTCAGTAACAAAACCAAGAACTCAAAATGTGTTGAAGAATTCTGCATGTTGGTCTATGTCAGGGAAGCATTCCACTTGCTTGACTAAAGGTCATGCAAAGAGAAAGTGGTATTTTTTAAGAGAAATATTAAAATTTCTCCTGATGCAGGTGTTAGTCATATGATAATTCCCTCAAAGGAGCTTTTAGTCATTTGACTGAGACCTTTACTAGCTTTCCAGCCAATCCCAGAAAACATAAAGATAACAATGTAAGATGTGATGGTGCTCTTTCCACCCCATATAACAAACAATGGAACATCACACAATAGTGTCCAAAGATAGAGAAAAGGCCAGAGACTAAAGTCTAATGATGGTATATTTACTAGTCAGAAGTAAAGCTTAATTTTTCTTAATACTCTAGCCATCTCCCATTGAGGTAGGGTGACCTGACAAGAAACAAAACACTCACTGTCCCTCATTCAATCACTGCCTTGTCAGAAGGCCACTGACATCATAGTTCAGATGACCCTCCAAATCCCAGTATCACTACCCTCCTTCAAAGTATAGGCACTGTGCTTCCCACTTGCAGGACTCAAATCCAGCTAACCAGTTTCCATGAATCCCTTCATGAATGTTTCCTTACTCACACTCGAACAGCATGCCAAGTCATACAATCCACTTTCCTCCACTCACTCCTATCTAACATACTCACACATGCTAGTTGGATGTCCAAGCCCCTCATCACATACAAAACCTCTTCTACTTTCTCCTTCTAACCTTTCCTAGGATGACTCAACCTTGCTCTCCCTCCGCTACAGATTTATATACCTTCCTAGTCATCCTATTTTTCTCCACCCACTCTAAATGTCCAAACCATCTCAACAACCCCTCCTAATCTCCACTTCAGCAAGCAATCTACTCCTAATCTCTTCCAAACTCTGAATTTTCTGTATAATATTCACACCACTCATTGTCCTCAAATGCATCTCTATTGTCTGTAGCTGCCTCCTCACTGCAACATTCAAAAACCAATGCTTCATACCCATACAACAGTCTTGGTACCACTGTACTCTGGTACATTCCCCTTTTTGCCTCCATGGGTATAGTTCTCTGTCTCCAGAGATGCCTCACTGCACCACCTGCCTTTTTTACCTTCATCAATTCTGCGGCTCACCTCTCTCATACAACCATTTACTAACAAGTCTGCTCACAAATATGTGAACACATTTGCTTTCTCCATACTCACTCCCTTCATTCTAATATTCAATCTCTCATTACCTATACTTTTGATACCTTCATTACTTTGCTCTTCCCTATGTTTACCTATAATTTTCATCCATTACATAACCTCCCAAATTTATTTATCAACTTTTGCAACTTCTCCAAATCTCCCAAAAGAACTGTGCCATAGGCAAACAAGCAGATGTAGCAACTCCCACTCTGTACCAGATTCACTATCTTTTAATCTCACACCTCTCCCTCACACCCTAGCAATCACTTCTTTTATAAACCATCTATAAATAAGTTAAACCATAGTGACATCATACATCCCTCTCTAAGGAGAAAATCTCCTGCTCTCCTATATACCCTAACCTGCACCTCACAAGTTAGGGTATTTTGTATTGTATAGAGTTTCTGAATGAATTTTTTATTTTATTTGTTCTCAGTTGTTTTTCAACCAAATTAATTAATTTTTTGTATAAGACCATTTTATACATGTATTGTAAGCTTACATCTTTTTGGTAAATGTAATCAATAAATGTGTAAATATACTAAGCTTTAAAATGAATCCCTGTGCTATACATGTTATACTGAGTTCTGTTAAGTGAATTTGCTCTATGGGCAATGGACCAGGACTGCAACTGTCATATAAAGTGAGAGACAACTATACTTTTGAAAAATTAATAATAATTGTTTAAGCTTATTTTGAATATCTTATTTATAAAAGTAAACAATAAGAGGATCTTGTTCAAAAGATATATCTTTGAAAAATACACTTACCTATTGCTATAACAGTAGTTAAAACATTCATGTATGGGAAGAAAGTTATCTCATAAATAAAGATGTACATAAAATATGCAATGACGAGGGCACAAGCAACAGTGGTGATGGTGACTACTGTGATGAAGAGAGAGCCAGTATAGCACCACATCAGCAGCACAACAATACCAGCACCAACGCCCAGTAGGAACGAGTTGGACATTAACAGCTTATCAAACAGTGCATCCTTCAGACCTGGTTGCATGGAAAAAAAATTTATTATTATGAATACAATAATCTAAGTAACATATGTATTATAAAACAAATAAATGTAAAATACTGCATAGACTGGTAAGTAAAATTTTTGTTCCATAGTCTGAAACATTGTTTCAGACTATGGAACAAAACTTCTCTCCAGGCTGAGGGACTAACCACCTCAAAACTATGTCTTCAAGAGTGATGGACCAATTACATTGTATTCACATCTCTACTGCTTCTGCCAACTTTTCTGTACTCGACTGAAAAAGCCTACTGAGTAGGAGAAACATTTTAGAATAAAGATGCCTAACTGTTGCACAAGTGTCTTACTTACTGACCTCTCAGAATTGTATACAACTTTAACATTTACTATATAACCTATTCTAAACCTTGATCATAATTTTGAACCATTAAATGTCATCTTGGATCCACTTACATGACTGAGAAGTAACAAGGCAAAACAACTGCAGGAATGGTGCAAGGGCACCATTCCTGCAGTGGGGGGGTAGAATGAGTTAAATGAATGGTGCCCTTGCATCATTCCTCACTAAAGCAGCTGTTTCATCTTCCTATGTTTAAAGACCTGTGCCCTGCTCTTTGTCATGCAAATTTCATGCCTGCTTCCTATGTCCTGACGTAAGTCTTGCAGACTACAAGCATGCCACCTTTGTCTTCCAGATTTCACGCCCAATGCTTATGACCTGCTGCCTGTCCTGAAGACTTCATGCTTGCCACTGTGTCCCGTTCCTTACCTTTTGGATTTCATCTGTGCGACTAATATCTTAAGTGCTCCTTGCTGTGTTAACTTTGTATCTGCTGCCTGTGTTGCAGACCTCACCCCCTACCACCTGTGGACTGCTGACAATCTTGAAGACTTCATGCTTGCCACAAAAAACTTTGACACATAATAGATAATATTGATACTGTAGCTCACATGATTTCTTGCTCACTTTCTAAGAAATGCTAACTAGAAACCTCACCTCTAACAATAATTGCAGTATTTAGAAAACAAAACTAGACAAAAAAAAATTACCCTCTAGCTAACAAACCCAAGAGATTACTTAACAGATTATCATATAAGCAAGGAACTTATGATTTTTATTAACCAAATTGTTTCCTCACATGCTCTAAAATGTGGGATGTATATTGTTACCATAAATAATGCAGATGGGGCAACTAACCTCTTACATAACAGCACTATTGGGAGCATCCCACAATACAGAGACATTCCTTCTTCAGCTTGAACTGTGGGACTATACTCATCCCACTTTATAATACAAGAAAAAAATTACACAATGCAATCAACACCCCAACAATGCAATGCTGGTGTTTTGACCACCCTGCAAAATACTGCAAATCATGGGTAATGTGCAGTCTGTGGAGCAGCAGATCATAATAATCCATCCTGCAACCAACCTTGAGTGTTTCCATAGGTGTTCTGTTTTCCTTCAAGAAAGTGAAATACACAGTCTAAAGAAAAAAAAGGGAGTAATCCAGCTTTGTCTCAGGGAAAAATGCAACAGACATACTATTCCAGAGGTGCCTGACACCCTCAACACCAAGTAGAAACAACTAACACGGTCATCCCCGTGTTAAACCCTTATGAAGTCTTCACCTCTCATGTTCCTACCTTTTTGCCTATACTGTTCCACCCATACAGTCTTTTTCAGCTGCTTCAACACTACCGCCATAACTTTATACCTTTGAAGAGTTTCGAGAGTTTCACTACACTCGGAGCCTGGCCATGGGCCAGGCTTGTCTGGTGCTTGCCTGGTCAACCAGGCTGTTGCTGCTGGAGGCCAACTGCCCCACATATCCATCACAGCCTGGTTGATCTGGCACCTGGTGAAGATACTTGTCCAGTTTACCCTTGTTCCAGCCATGTTTCTGATAACTTCTGGTAAGATGTTGAATAGTCTGGCACCCTGAATGTTCATACAGTGTTCCCTTACTGTCCCCAATGCACCCTTGCTCCTCACTGGGTTCATATTGCACTTCCTCCCGTATCTCTCACTCCAGTATATTGTTATGGCAGTGTGCAGATTTCTGACCAGGCCCTCAAGTACTTTCTAGGTACAGTGGACCTCTGGTCTTTGTACTTAATCCATTCCAGAAGGTCAGTCTAAAACTGAAACATATGAAAACTGAATTAATATTTCCCATGAGAAATAATATAAATGCAATCAATCTGTTCTAAACACCCAAAAATATTAAAAAAAAAAATTTTTAAAGAAAAACTAGTTTTGCATACAGAAAACAATGAAAAATAAATATAAAGCACAAATTTTAATGATAAATGAACATTACATACCTTTATTGAAGACTCTTGTTGGCGTATTAAAGGCGGCGAGGAGGGGAGAGGGAGTTGGGGTTATTGTTTGGAAGGGGAATCCCCCTCCATAAGGACTTCAGGTATCAAAGCCCTCTCTGGGGTTACTTCCCTTCTTTGTTTTTTACTGGCACTGGACCCCTGTCGCACTAAAAATCTGTCCAGAGAGCTCTGTTTCTGGCATCTCTTTAGCCCCTTGACTGTTGCAACCCCCAGTCCTGAGGTGTCGAAAAATTTAAAAAAAAAAAAAAAAAAAATTATGAAATGATAGAGAATCTTTTCCTGATTGTATTATTATTATTATAATCAAAAAGAAGCGCTAAGCCACAAGGGCTATACAGCGCTGCAGGGTAGGGAAGGAAGCAAGGGAATTGGATGGCAGGAGGGAGGGGGGATGATCAGCAGGTTACAGAAAACAGCGGGGCAGGGGATAGTACGGGGGTAGAGGGTAGCAAGAGATACAAGTAGAAAGGGCTGAAAGTATCAGAATTTGTGAAGTAAGTCAGTCGTTGTCAAAAAGTCAATAAGAGAGTCCGGATGAAAGGTGGGTCCATCAGCGAGAAGGAAGGTAAGAGAGAGCAGCGGGGCGAAGACGACGACAGAGGTAAATTCTGCGTGCTCGTTGATAAAGTGGGCAGTCCAACAGAATGTGGCTGACTGATAATGGAGCTTGGCAATTCTCACAGAGAGGAGCAAGACGCCTCTCCATGAGATATCCATGAGTAAGACGAGTATGGCCAATGTCGAAGACGGGAGAGAGTAGTCCCCAGCTTCGACACTGGTGATAAGAAGACGGCCAGTAACCTATACTCGGTTTAATAGACTGAAGTTTGTTGCCGAGCATAGTAGACCAACGTTGTTGCCAACGGGTGTGAAGGTGGGAAGATATTACAGCAAAATAGTCCGTACATGGAATACCTCTGTAAGAAACTGGTAGGTCATGTACTGCTGACTGCGCAGCAGTGTCTGCCTGTTCATTGCCCTGTACGTCAACATGACCAGGGACCCAACAAAAAACAATATCTTTATGCTTAGTAAAGATGCGGCGTAGCCAAAGTTGGATACGGAGGACTAAGGGGTGAGGTGTATCAAATTTTTGTATAGCCTGTAAAGCACTAAGGGAGTCTGAGACAACCACAAATGATGACACAGGCATAGATGCAATACGAATAAGTGCTGTAAGGATGGCATATAATTCAGCAGTAAAAATACTAGCTGAAGATAGTAAATGCCCTTGTACGACGCTGTCCGGAAACACTGCTGCGAATCCTACACCATCAGAAGACTTAGAGCCATCTGTGTACACAGCAATGGCATGAGAATGAGAGTGAAAGTGGTCAAGAAAAAGAGAGCGGGAAGCGACCGTAGACAGTTGGGCTTTCGAGCAAGGGAGGGAGAAAGAACAGACTCGAACAGCTGGGACCTCCCAGGGGGGTAGGGAAAAGTGAGATGCTACATGTACATAGAAAGGTGGTAGTTGAAGAGAAGACAAGAGCGAATGAAGGCGAAGAGAGAAGGGACGGAGTAAGCAGGGGCGGCGAACAAATAAAGAATGTCTACTAATATCAGTGACCATTCTATAAATGGAAGGATTGCGGAGATCATGAGAGCGTACATAGTAGCGCAGGCAATGGGCATCACGGCGATCGGATAAGGATGAGAACGTTCGCTTCTGCATAGAGGCTTTCGACAGGGGAAGAGCGAAAAGCACCAAGGCATAAACGTAATCCTTGGTGATGAATGGGGTTAAGGCTAGAGAGAGTAGCAGGAGATGCCGCTGAATAGATCTGGTCACCATAATCAAGTTTCGATAAAATAAGGGTGGAATGTAGGTGAAGGAGGGTTCGACGATCAGCTCCCCACGAAAGATGAGCAAGGGTTTTAAGAAGGTTCAGCCGGCTGTGACAAGTTGCCTTCAGAGAGGTAATGTGAGGTTTCCAGGATAACCTACGATCAAAGAGGAGGCCCAGAAACTTGACTGTATCACGTCAGGGATACGTGAGCCATAGAGGTACAAAGGATGATCAGAGATGACAGGCGTCTAGTGAAAGTGATTTGGTGGGTTTTAGTGCTGGAAAATTTAAACCCATGTGTGGTGGCCCAATTGGAAACACGGCGACTGCATGCTGGAGAGAAACTGTAAGGAGGTGACAGTCTGCGCCTGCACAGGCAATAGCGAAGTCATCAACATAGAGTGATGACCAAATATTTGATGGAAGACTAGAGGCCAAATCATTAATAGCAAGGAGAAAAAGTGTTGTGCTCAGAACACATCCCTGGGGGACACCTTCAGCTTGGACAAAGTCCGGGGAAGCACATTATTAACCCGAACACGGAAATGCCTGTCAGTTAAAAAGTTCTTAAGGAAGGATGGTAGATTGCCTCAAAGGCCTAAGGAGTGGGCTTGGGCTAAAATATTATACCTCCAAGTTGTGTCATATGCCTTCTCAAGGTCAAAAAATATGGCAATAACTGAGTGGTTATTCGCAAAGGCATTACGAACATACGTATCCAAGCGCAGTAAGGGGTCTATGGTAGAACGTCCCTTACGAAAGCCATATTGACGAGTGGAGAGACTGTTGTGTGTTGTCTCTAAATACCACACTAAAACGTCTATTTACTAGACGTTCCATTACTTTGCAAACTGCACTGGTAAGAGCAATGGGAC